ACACACACACAAACACACAGACACACACACAAACACACACACAGATGCACATACATGTAGGTAGGTAATCCTGTCGCATTCAGAAATCTATTTGTCAAATACACATCACTTCATTATGTATGAAGTTACACGTTCACTACAACTTGTAAATATGCACTTAAATTACCCTCTACCAGGGTGGCAGATTAAAACGGAAAAAATCACAGAATCAAATGACTGTCTATTTATCTAGAGACATATCTGTGAATATCTGTGAAAAATCAGTCTGTCGCTCTGGTAGGGGGTACAGTAAAGTTGTCAGGATCACATGACGTTCACATATTTCGTCCAATAATTGTCTCTTTACTTGTTGCCATGTTTGTGACTTGTCTAAGAAAGATCATTTTAATAGAAATAACGTCCAATGTATGAGAAAGACGTGTAGTTTTTAGTGGAATTCACACGTGTTGTCATGTGAAGAAATTGTTTTATACAGTACCTGGTGGGAAAGTACGATTAGCGCGCACTTGTTTTTATCTTCATGGTACCGTTAACATTCTCCAGGTGGCCTTCACCTATTAAACCATTTTACAATATCAAATCTAATCACATAAGTACAGGCAAAGAACTGGTAATAGATAAATATATGGACTAAAAATAAGTGGGCTGTTTATAAATTCTAGCAGCAATTATCAGGTATCAACGGACAAAGAACTTGAAATCTCCCGTGAAATTATTTTTTACAGTTTCCCTGTTGAGACATTTTAAAACCATTCAGAAAAGACTGCCCGTTTATCAAATATGTGAAAGTAAATTTTCAAACAAGGGGAGAAGTCCACGTAGTTAAAATGATTAATCTTATTATATTTTAAAGGTCAATTTGTTCATTTTCTTTACTAATGTTAGTCCACCTTATCTCGTTTACCAAAATGTCACACTGCATATCGAAAGGGAGTGATAAGGGTGAGGGAGAGATATTTACTTCTGTTTTTAATATTACGTAGTTTTCTCGTCATGGCCAAAACACTCTATTTGTGTATCCTACGGAGTGCTTGTACATCTAGTAAATATGTCATAACACATGGGTGACTAAGTTCTTTCTACATTGTGACATATTTCCAAAATATTGCCAGCATTACGTGTAGCTTCAGCAAATAGACTTGTCCGTTAAGCAAACAAACAAACAAATAAGGCAACGTTCGACAGACACGTTTGTAGTTTGGTAATTTGTTGTTGATACTTGGCAACACTTCAGCAAGTTAACAATTTAATCACATATATACACACACATATATTTATATACTCTCAAACGACACTTGGATATTAATGCTATCAAATCACCCTGCTAGATTGAAGCCACTAGGGTCATGAAAATATTTGTCCTTGAATACTTAAACATGGGAGAGATATTACTGGATATCAGCAGCCAATCACAATTAACGTCCGGGTTAATGATTACCTACCTATGTCCGCGCGTGTGAGTGTGTGTGTGTTAGTGTGTGTGTTTGTGTTTGTGCGTGTATGAAGTAAGTCTATTTGGAGTGAACAGGTGAGTTTCACCAATACTTTGTTTGCTTTCTTAAAGCACATTCCCTGCAAAATATCCCGTACGTTTGAAAATTAAAAAAAAATACTACATTTAGTGTGACTACACATCCAGCTTCAACTTGCAAAGAATACGAAAAGATAGTGAAAATACAATTATACAGGGCAAAACTATTTGAAAAAAAAATGGAAAATTAAGTTATGTGAACTTAGTGTATTTCTTTTATGCGACGACAGTGATCCGGCTAAATATTGCGCATCCACACACAAACCAAAATTTAAAGTTTATACATCTGGGAGCGTTTTATTTTCGGGAAACGGCCATGATAATTGAGGAGTACCTGCAAGCTAGCAGTACAAAATGGGCGCATAGAAGGTGTGTGTTATAGGCTAGGGGAGCAACGGCTATTATAACAGTTTGGTGATAAGGGATTGAAAGAAATTAATAATGGCTGCAATCAGCACAGACGATCAAATATGACTCAAATATGAATTGAAAGCGATGCCGCTAACCCCTAATTGTCGCCCCGCCTACCTCACGCGGCAGGCATGATGGGGCGTAGCAATTAAACGGATTAAGTCTTGACTCTGAAGTTTAATTGTTAGGCCCCCTTGACTGTGTGGTAGTCCACATTCAGAACAGATGATCTGCGGACTAACTGATCCGCCGACTAAATATGGCCGACCCCACTTGAAAGCAAATCCGCCTAATAACCTAATGGTCTCCCCGTCTCCACACAGATTAAATCTCGGCTTCGAGGTTTAATTGCGAGGCCACTGCAGGGATGCCGCGTTGTGAAGGCGGGGAGACCGTCAGGGAATTAGGCGGCTTTGCTTTTAAGCTGTCTATCATTGGACCGTTTGGTCCATGTCATAAACATGTTCATGAGCTTGCTCCACACTATCCTGTCTTGTACATGTAATCATTGCGTCATCCATTCCACCCGTTGCCTTTCTCCTTGACTTATAAAAAATGATATTAAAACTCAAGCGCTTTCCACATAAAATTATATGCTATTTGAATGTACTTGTTACGCGTGCTTGTTTGACTAGACAATATATACTAAGTTGATACCGGTCATATCAATCACTGAACCATGATAAGAGATGGATGTTCAATAATTATCATAGTAATTGTGATCTTAAAAGAAAATTAAATATAATTATTTGTTTGTGACATGCATATTCGACCGAAATCCGGTAAAAAAAAACAATAAAAATAAAAAATCATCCTCCCTACCCTACCTGTAGACGCAAAAAGAATTATCAACAAAGATTTTATATAAAAATATATTTATAATAAAAACAATTATAATTTTAAAAAATCAAAGAAAAAAATTGGGACCGAGTGGAAATTGAACTCACTCCACCCTGTTTGGCAGCCTATGACGTTCCCAATGTATAGATGGAGTTTGTACCCTTGGCCACTAGCATTGAGATAAGTGCATAGCTTTGACGAAGCTTAATCAATCACCGATCGATATTTAAAAAAAAAGTTAATGAGAGAGATAGCATCTTTGGAATTGATCCACCACTTTATAAGACGTTGTAAATAGGAGACCATTTACCGTTCTGTTCACCTAGTGACCAACAGAAAACGCAACGAGTTCAAAATAAAGAACAAAAGCTTATCTACATGACAGACTGCATGAACACTATTATTTATTCATTCATCGATTTATTTAGTAGTTTTCGAATACAAAAGATCGTTCAAAAGGCCCTGATTTGAAACGCGTAGACTTCATTTAAGTTTACATTAATCTTTGTTTGTTAAAAAAAAGTAGCAGTAAAACCCTTATTAAACCTGAAATAGGCCTACTTGATACTGGACAACCTCGGCATTTAAAGCAACCAACTGAGAACAAGATGTCTGCTTCCGGAAATTCTCGAAAGGTAACGTCTTCATGATTCGTATTATGTTCGTTTTAATTTATTATTACTCATTTATTATGCATATGTTTTGTAATTTACATTGTAAGTAACAAACGAACAGACAATCATACACCAGTAATGGCTGCTTGACGCCGTATCATGGTATGTCATCGTTAGGGGACAAGATAAAGGTATATCGCTCCACAGTTAATATACGTACAAGAACATCGCTCTAACTTAACAACCACGTAATTACCTGTACATGCTGCACAGGTACACGCATATTGAACGTCTCGGTGGAATAGTAGATTTATTTTATTCTCAAAGAAATCCTAATGTTATTCAATGAGTCCGAAAGAATTACAATCTTCAAGTTTACTGAGAGACCTGCTGTAGAGGTTCAGCAAATTATTTTTAAGGCAACATACAGGTCGTCTTATCTGAAAAAAAATCCCAGCCGTACTCTCCTGAGCCCCACCAACACAGAAATTTACACGTCACGTGACTCTGATATCCTGAGAAGCAAACCAGTGCCCCGTATCTCGAAAGCATCGCGCATTGCGACCGTGCGCAAGCGTCTCGATTCCATAACTCGCCCATACTCGCCCCATATAATACATTGTAGCCTCTATGTGATATCGCTATTCGCAATACGCGATGCTTTCGAGATACGGGGCCCAGCTCGCTTGTTTTTAACAATTAGGCCAGAGCTGTTACAACATCCCACGTGACAGTAACTGACAGATGGGGAGGGTTTTGTAGTTTTGTGGCATGCGTTACCAGAGTTGTAAAAATATTATGACCTAAATTTACCTTGGTGCTATTTATTGATACGCTTTTTTCAATCCAAGTCTGAAAATATTTTTGTAATAGAACACATTATCCTTCAATAAAGTGCGATGTATTTCTGGTAGGGGGTTTACAATTCAAACAGTTAATTGTGCTGTTTGCTTTCGTTTTAGAAATGAAATATGAGAGCTTTTGAAGCACTGATCTCTGACCTGTTTACCTCACGTATACAAACAAAGGTCGTTACCTCACCCATCCCACGTGACCAATCTAACCTCTCGGGCGTGTCATTTGGAACAAAGACAAAATAACATTTAAGTTGATTGGGACAGACGCACGTTTATTATAAGGTTAATGCTGCATACCCCCACGGCATATTTCGTAAGGTAAGCATTGCGACTATATTTGACAAGAACTCCTTAAATTCTAAGAGAGGTGCTAGGTTTTTTCAAGAATGCTATGTTTTGGAAATTTCAGAAACCAAACTGAGCTTCATCTATTTTCTAATTTTGCCGGCAGTTCCGTTTGGTTATATGACCATCGTTTGAGAAATAATATATAATGGCTGTAGAAGTCGAGATCCGTCGTTTTTACAGTAGTGTATGACTAAAGATACCGTTATGTAATCTATAGGATGTGTTCAGTTCAATATACATGTTAGTCATCTCACCCTGCCGTTCGAAGTTCAACTTGAAAATGTTTTAACCCCTGTTCTTGAAGTATGTTGCGTAAAAGAATGACCAGAAAAGTCGGTTTTGGATGATTCTGAAGGGTTCTAGAAAAAAAGCAGAAGCACACTGTGTTCGTAAACATAAAATTGGGCCGGTTTACAAGGGAATTTAGACCGAAGACATTGTAAAGAAAGTAGAAAACGCCAAATGTTTTTAAGTCTGATGGGTACTTAATCTCAGGTGGCTGCTACAAATTGCCCTGAATTGAAATAGGTCACACATTTTGATGTTAGAATTAAGACTACCTTTGATTATGTTTCTTTTTCTTTTTTGTAGTTTGCCCTTTTGTTTCTTTTTTGCAAAATCGTAGTATTATAATGCTGTGATATAACTTTCATGGGTATTGTTATAATTGACGAGCAAATTATTAGTACTCAGCACCTTATGTTCCCTTACAGGCGGAATGTGTTGTTGTCCTGTTCCATAAAAACATATCGGTTCTAACATATCGATTTTTAAATCTGGGACACACAATCTCAAAAGCAAATCCAACTGTCATACTGTACATGCTTACTCGTGGCTATATGACGTAATGTCTTGTTTAGGGTAAAGATTAGAGAGGCACTATCAGATGTGCTAGTTGATCCTGTGATACACTAAACCACCTCATCCCACCGTTTGTCTGTTTGCTGTTAATAATTTCATATATCCAATTCCCGTAGTTGATTTTTTCTTTCTTTCTTTCTACCTTTTTT